CTATTTGATGAAATGTCCCAATTAAAAAAAAGAAGAAGGAAGCTTTCACTAATGTGACTAATGGCAATCTGCTGTAGGTGCCAAGTGGATCACAGACTTAATCAACTTGTAGAGACAATAATTAAGTGCCACACACTCTCTCTCACTACAAGAGAGCCAAAGCCCATGTGTAGTGTGGATGTTGTTTGTCGGTGGTTGCACTAAAATTTTTCTCTAATTTTTTATGTTTTTTTTTTTAATGGTTGGTGGTTGCACTTTTCAGATCAATGTGATGTTGCATGTCTGGATAAGTTTTGAAATGGTTACCTCTTGGGTCTAATTGTGAAGTGGATAATGTGTTGGTTGCACTCAAAATTCAAAATCAGATTACTTCAAGTCAATGAAGAGGAGAGTGTGAACCACTAGCAGAGTACATGTGCATGTGCCTGGGCCTGATAGCTATAGAAAACAGACGATATTGGTGCAATGATCAGTGGTCAAACCCTAAGAAGGTGAGTGTCTTACTCCCTACTGACATCAATGGGCTGAACCTTGTTGGGTTGTTAACATTTTCAGTGCCAAGGAGTCAAAGAGAGATAAGAGGGTAGGTTAGCATTTAGGGTTCGGAAAAGACAGCCAGTACATATTTGCTCTAGTATTAAATTCTTCCAATTCACACTAATGTGAATACGAATGAGACTCGCTGTATTTAAGTGATTGGGGATAGCTACGATAAACCCCATTCACCTCATTTTTCCATTGGGACCACTTTCCAATGAAAGACCTACCACATTAGGGTCCTCACAATATTTAATTGTATTTATGAAATAAGTTTTTATTTGGTAATATAAAGACTTTTGTTACTAAATGTAATTAAGTTTCAATTTTTGTTTTTTATATCTCTGGAAAACACTTTATTTCCAGGACTTTTTATGTTTTACCTTATATAATCATGTAAGAGTTAAAATTAATTATCGTTTATTTGCTATTGTCTTTTTTATCTAGGTCGGGAACTCAAGCAGATTACGTCGTCCTAAATACCGACAGACCCCCACCAGCCGCCCACCACCAACCCCAACACTGGCAGCAAGACCCACCCCAACCAGAATTGTGTATTTTCATCATTTTTTAGGAACCAAAATGAAATGAATAGCTTAATTCCACCTGCAGGAAATGCAGATAGTGAACATACCTAATACATATAGCTTAATTAGTAATGATGCCACTTTGAGGCCTAGAAGGTTCTATCCCCCTTCCCCTCAGGTTTTTAAAATTGCATTTTCCACCTCCTGCTTTTCATATAATTAGGAGAAAGCTGCAAGTGATGTAATGCATACGCATTATGGAGCTTAGATATAATAGACATAGAGTATGGTGAGTCTAAATTATTCTAGTGCGGGATAAGAGAGTAATTCAGTGGTAGGAGTTCACTTTTACTTGCAGATTATCATATTTAAAGTAATATTCTATAATGCGTGGTCTAAACAAAACCTGAGCGACATTAATATCCAAGATGATCCAAGACGTGAAGAATATACCTAATAGATTAGAGTCAAATACATTAATGCAAGTTGCTTTCATTTTTCTTAATTTAATATAATGCATTAATCTCCAATCCTCAGTATAAGTATAATGAAACTGTAAATTATTTAAACCTTGATTCAACCACGATATAACCCAAGAGAAAAAAATAATAATTATGCAAATTGATGAGCTCAAATCCAATTGGTCCAAGCCCAGTCATGGGAAAAACCCAAATCAGTTGGAAGGCGGGCCAAACTCTGCTCATGACCTCAATTTAGTCCGGGGCTCGGTCCAATTCAAAATTCAAGAGACCCAAGAAGATCAATGCACGTGGAGAGTAATCATCGAGATAACCACTCTCGAAGATCACACATGTTCTTAATTGTACTTATCCGTAATTGTAACTATCGTCTCTGAAAGACTAGTAACCTACCATTCATGCCACCATCTCAATTAAGGCTCTGTGTCTAACCCTTAATACATCTCTCACACAGCTATCTCTCTCATATAACTATCTCACCACACCTAATGTTTGTTCTCTCGCTCTCTCTCTCTCTCTCTCACTTACTACTTTATTATTCCTTTCATTCCTAAATATATGTCGTTTTATACAAATTTGTTGTTCCATAATGTTTATCGTTTAATGAAATTAAAACATAATTAATTTTTTTTCTTTCCAATTTACCCTTAACTTTTCGATGTATTAGATTTGGTAGAGGCTAAATGTCTTTCATATTCCTTTCCTTCTCAATACATATTAAATAAGGGTATTTTAGTCTTGTATAATTATTTTTTACTCATATTAGAACTATTTAATAACTTCCTTAATTTATGTGTAAAAATCTTAAACGATAGATATTTAGGAACGGAGGGAGTAATAAAATTTTTCGGTCACTGTCGCTACCTTTAGTGGTTGAGTCACTCAAACTCAACCACCCAATCTTTGTTTCTTATTAGTAAGTGTTTCATTAATTGTTTTACATCACACTCGACTAATTTGATTGTGCATAAATCTGCTTTTGTGCATCGTCACAAATTATTACCACTAATATAGATTAAAGTAAATCAATTTCTTCCTCTATTATACCTGAACCAAAATCATTTAAGGTTGTTTCTGAAACAGCACAAACGGGAGGTTATGTGGAAGACACCTAACTTGGTTAAACCGGTCAATGAATCAGATTTTAATTTGAATATGATTAGTCGGATACAAGTTGATATTTTTTATTGATAATTCGAATCCGATATGTTATATTTCACTGATCTAGATTTGGATATATGTATATTCAATTATGAATTGATCCGAATTATTTATATCTTTCTACATAAATATTAAAGAAATTAAGTTATTATTTAAATAAATAAGATAAAATGTAGGTATAATTTAATAAAATTTAGTTAATTTAGCTATTCAGATCAAATTAAAATTTTGAATTGTTAAAAGATTCGAATATGAATTATAAAAATAAAATTCATCAAATTATCAAATCAAATTCAAATTAAACTTTCAAATTTAAATCAATTAAAACCTGATCCAAACTCTGATCTATTGACAAGTCTAAACTTGGGAAAAGCTGGTTTGTATGAAGACTTTTTTTTTGCACCATAAACTGGGGACAATTTAATAATTTATTTAACTTGGTGAGACCCACCATTCTAATGGTTTTAGACTTTTCTACAAATGCAACAACCTTTTTCATCCCAAACGTATGCCATCAGAAGCTTCGCAAAGAGTCCTAACAGCTGATTCAAACAATCTCGTCCTTACCCTTAAATTAACAATGACAAGACATTTTCAATGTGCATTTCTAACAAGTCAAAGTCATATATTGTTTTTTCTTCCTCCCCCACTGACAATTTCTCCCGATTATACAATTGAGACCATAGTATACAATGTTTAGATTAAGATAACAATAATAAACCCGAGTAATGACCCGTTCAAATAAAAATTGAGAAATTAGTCTTTAAACGTGTCGATATTAACATAAGAATAAATATGATTAATGACGGGTTCAAATGAGAATCACAGAATTATTCGATACCTTTCGCTTAACGGATGAGCCAGTGACTAATTGCTACACACCCAAGTTAGCCAATTTTCGTACCACAAGCCACTTAATGGCCATTGCTTAATTGCCATGACCACAGGACATTCGTGGACACTTGACTTTGGTACATGGGACTAGCTACCTAACTAAATAGGTGACCAATGGATCTAGACTCTAAAATTCCGTGTGGTGCATTTTTTTCCCTAAGCCTACTTTATATACAGATAATTCTTGATCCTTATCCTTTGTCCTTTAGTACAAATATAAGAAATGAAAAAAAAATTACTCATAAGTATTATTTTTTTTTTTACAAATATCTATTAAGTTCTATCATTTTTGTTTTATAAAAAGGGATGACAATTGATCCACTATCAATTGTCATTCCTTTTTATACGAGTTAATTTACTTTCTTTTTTTTTTTATAAAATAATGTCAAATTTTTATTGAAGTTATAGTTACAGACACGTGGATGCTCAATTTTTGTTTAGGTGCTAATATTCATTTCAATCGTGATTCAAAAATCACAAAGTATTAGAGTTTTTGTCGTGAAACTCATGTTCATCGAGAATACATAAGGTCAAAAACTCTTTATTGTATCTCATAATAACAATTCTAAAAATTATTAGTAATTAAATTTTTCATAAAATTATCAAGTAGGCAATACATAATTTTAAAAAAAAGAAGGCAGAATATATGTATGAATAGAAGATAACTAATGTTATTATATCTCCAATATCTTAGGTGTCAATATTTGTCAAGAAAATGGTAGAATTTTAACAAAAATGTAGTATTTATGAAATTTAGGACTTCATTGAGATAAAATATCAAGATTTGGACTTCAAATATAGAACAAAAATGATAACTCTTAATGGATGTTTGTCGGAAAAAATAATACTTATTGGTTATTTTCCCCAAATAAAAAAAGAACGCGAAGAGAATAAATATATGATTTAATGCACGAGACTTCCACCACTACTAGATCTAAAAAGGGTTAGATATATACAATCTTACCATCGCATGAAAATACCCAAGCAAAAATGACACCATCCTTCATGTTATTAGCAGTAAACTTCTCACTGCCAACTTCAAACAATCCACTCGGAATATTGCTTTTCTCCAGTATTGGAACAATTCTGTGTCTAATGCTTGGTCCTATAATCTTCCATCATGAATGCTCTGATCTGCCATAAGTTCTGTCACAAGGGAGAACTTATTGCAGTTCAAGTGCTTGGCCCCTATTTTGTTTTTTGCTCTGTTTGATAAACAGATAAATTCTTTACATGTATATGTAATTTTACAAAGATGAATATATTTTACTTTCCCAAAAACATATTTTACTGAAAAAATTAATACAACAGAAACCTAAATAATCACCAGATGCTATAGCAGCTGAATGTACATGAATAAGTCTGAATGTATATGTATTTAGATTTTCTTCATTTTCATAAGTAATCTTTGACAAACAGTTTAAACTATTGCATGAATAACATACAGAGGAAGATCTGATTGGCTCTTTCATGTAAGAAATAACTATATCCCCATATTCAGATAGATACCTTCGCTCTTGATCTCTTTCACATGCACCACCAACAGCCCTTACACAAGAAAATGAGACCTTGAACTCAAAATGAAACAGCCACTTTATAGTTGCTGGACACAATCCCAGGTTTCTTGTTAGGCGACAAGCTATCAACCACCAACGAACAATTAACGAAAACCACGAACTGTCTCATCGGAATCGTCCCTACGACGATACTCACCGGTGCTTTCACCCTCACCAGCAACGGAATCCTCCTGGTATGCCGGTTTTCCGTCAGGGCCTGTTGAAGCCCTGATCCAAATTCACTCTTCCCCTTCAAAGTAACTTTCATTCTAGTTGTGTTCTCATGACCTTGATGAAATGCTGGTAGCTTCCCAGAACAAAGGGTTGAATCAGTGTACAAGACTGTTAACGCACTTTCGCTGCCATAGATGAATCCAATGTTTTTATTAGGGTTCTCGGCTTTCACGGTGAGCGAGAACTCGGTATAGAGGCTGAAGTCCAGTTCAACGTTGAAGGACCTAACGTCAAGGCTCTCGACTTTATATGAAGGCATTTGGGGGTCGAAAATGGCATAGAAATACAGGGCAAGGCCTGCCATGATTAATATTAAGAAGAAGAGGAAGCAAAAAAAACAGCATATGCATTTTAAACAACTTGTTCCTCCACTTTTCTTTTGATTCTGGGAATAGTACCGGGGAACGTTGCGGCGATAGGGTGGTGGCCGGACGTTTCCATGATTGCTTCCATAATTTTCCGGTAGCATGACGTAAGGAGGTGGAGGTGCATTCATATTTGAAGATGGTGAAAATCAAAAGGCAAAGGGGGACTTTCCCATTCCCATTCCCATCAGAGATAGAGAACCACAGGAGGAAGAGGAAGAAGAAAGAGAGGCTCTTCTTCTTCCTCTCAACCGAAATCTGTTTACCAGAGAAGGAGGGGTGTGAAGAGAGAGAAAAACTGAGATAAATGATGATTTAGAGATGCCTCGGTTGGTTATGGGCATTGTTATGGATTTATGGTGGAAGATGTACATGTAGCCTTGGTCTCTCTGTCTTGCTGGGTTATAAATACCCATATCACACCGTTTTTTATGGATTCAAACTATGAAATATTACTTACAATTTTAGGTAATTAATAGTTATATTTACTGCTACAAAAATGTTGTTAATCCAGCTAGCTTGAGCACTAGTCAAGTGATGTTGCTCTGGTCAAATTGTTTCAGCATTTTTCAGTATTAAATTTTAAAATTAAATGAGTGGTATGTTTGTTATTTATATAAATTATCAAGTGGTAATAGGAATGAATGTAAATTTAGACGTCCCAAATACGAATTGTGACAATCTCTTTAGGCCAAGACATAAGATTATCTCTTATGAATACCTTAGTTCGAGCGTGAATTATTTGTCTTTGATTGTACCAAGGGAAAGATTAATCGAATTGTACGTAAGTCTAGATAATCTAACCATTGAACAGAAAAAAGAAAAAAAAAGTAGTATTAATCCTGATATACTGATACATTTTTATGCAAAACAAGGTGATTTTATAGTGTCTGATAACATATATACCAAGTAAGACTTCTTCCCTGACAGGCAGTATATTCTTTTTTAATTTTTCACAGAATTAAAGTCTTGTTATAAGACATATCCAAACTTAGGGATGTAGATCTTCCCCATTATAATTTTAAGTCGATTTCATTCAACAATGTATCATTCACCATATATGACTGTGGAATGCGTAATTATAAATAGTGAGTTCCACTTGAACTTGTGGTATAACATCAATTGAAATGAGGTAAAGGAGATGATCTCGATTCCAAAATTAGTCTTGCACTCTTCCATAAGTTGATAAAATACTATGCAGTTCAGAGACAAGAAAACATATTCGAGGAAATACAATAACAGGAACATTATTGTTGCTTTTGGTTTGAAACATTCATGTGGAATACAATTAGATACACAATCATTAGAAAATCAAACATTAACTCATCTATGCCAAGAAAATCAATAGTAATTGCTTAACCTTTGAGGTCTCATACAAATCAGAGAATCACCAAATGCTCAACATACAAAGAAAATTGACTACCACATGCTGTTGTACTGCAAATTTGCAATTGCTTTCACGAAGCTTAATTCAAAGATAACCACTTTGCTTATTACAGGGTCGTACTCATTATAATTGCAGCACAAATGGAAGAATTTGGATAAGTTGAAATTCCAATGTTTTGGAACTTAACCAAATTGGCAGCACAAACCAGGTTATACAATTAAGCATCACAATGATTGAGAAGAGGATAAACTTCGTTACCTCTCTTGAATCAGTGGAAAATTTCAAAAACAGTTCCTAATCGAGGACGGAGAAGAGGCACAGATAGCCGATCTATAGTTGAAGGTTCTTAAAGAATTTAGCCGAATGAAAGACACTACTGAGACAACAGCTGATTTCAATTTGACAGCAAGTTTCTTCAGCTTCCTCGACCTCGACTTTCCAGAAGAATCCATGTATGCCAACTTGTACGTTTGGAGGAAAATATGCCTCTTTCTCGCCCTGTCACGCCTATAGCTCAAAGAAGTCATCTTGTTGGGATGTTCAGTGCTGCTTTTTCGCCTCGAAAATGTTCTACGGCCATGACCATACTCTGGATTTGCTTCAGCACTGTGATCCAAGGGCCCATAGCCTTCACAGCGGCGGCTAAAATGGCGGGTGGTGTTCCTTACCAGAGTGGTCATGGCTGATTCTATACACTTTTGGGAACTAGATATGGGGTGAAGCAATATATATGATGATGAAGTTCTTATAAAATGTGCTACATCTACATTTA